GCGGCTGCTGGCAATTCTGATCAGTTACTGGCCTCAATCTAGAGCCCTGCTAGCAGCCGCACAGGTTGCAGGTTCGAACCCCGGATGAGGCATGGCTAGCTGATGAAGGCTAATGAGTCAGAATTGGCCGTTCCAGTCTCCCATGTTTTCATCGACACTATTTGCCTACGTATAATACTAGCCACCGTGCGGCTGCTGGCGGGGCTCGAGCATGTGCCCAAAGGTTGAACGGGATGAGTGAGCCTCGGTACAGATCAGTGGGCATTCATCACACATTATCAGTAAGAGTTTGGATCTGTACGTCTGTTACGGCTTGAGCAGAATCGCTCACACATCTATGACCATGCGCTGTGGTAGAGTTTCGTGACTTCAGTTGCACGGGCATCTACACATCCCGAATGATCGGGGGCTTACTTCTAAACGTCCTTTCCCTGTACGATTATTCGCTGTGAGGGCGGCAGACGCGAAAGCCCGATTTATAGCGTGTTCGAGTCTTCTGCTCCAAGCGATTTGCTCGGCCCATTTGGTATTTAGTTTTCCCGTCTTACGATTGTAAAGAGCTGGTGGTTACTGAGAGGTCTTTGTGCTTCATTCGTGGAAGCCATCTTTGAGCATCGTGACACTTCCCCTCTCAACAGAAGTGTTTGTCCTCGAGCGGACGAGTTTTAAACAGGATTCGTTGGGCATCGTCACGATAATCGAACTGTCACTAGACAGAACTCAACCTCGTAGCCGTATCTTTGATTTGAAGGTACACTCTTTCTGCGCTAGGAGCATACAGTATGTACTTGTTTCTGATTGACTTATGACATCTCTGAACTCCTGTGTCCGTGTCAACCGTGAGGAAAGTAGTCTGCCCGTGTCTCAAACCGTTGGTCCTTCGGACATATGACGCATGCTGAGAATGTACCGACCAAACCAGCGCTCTGTGTCCTTCTTGCGTCGGTGCATTCGAAGTAACATCTAGTCGATTACCTGCTTCAAAATCATAACGTGCAACTGCAATTACCCTATTTTAATTAAAATATAAATGAGCTACTTGCTCCATATTAGTAGTCTTTTTATCACAATTTTTCCGTGACTGGCCATCGTGCCCATTAATTAAGGATCCCTGATATGACATAAA